AAAAATTAAAATTAGTTCGTAGTAAACTTTTTAAAAAATTAAGCTCTCTCTCTCTCTCTCTCTCTCTCTCTCTCTCTCAAATCTGAATTCCTGATGGAAGTTCACCTTAATTTTCACCATCCATTATCATAAACATTTGGCTAATAGACCTATGGCATATAATATGCCATACGCTGTTCTTTGTTTCGTTGGAATGAGATACCCATTGGTTTTCAAGACAGGACAAGGAAATTCGAATTGGTGTTTGACTTGCTAAGCGTCTGATTCTGATTTGCCCAGTGTAGCTCAGGAAATTCCCGGGTCAGATCGGGCTACATTTCACGAAGAAACTAACATGGAAAGGCTAAAAATTGAATATTGGAGTGATTCTGGCTTCTAGGAACTGGAATTGCCTAGTTCCATGTATTGATCCAACTCGGCTATTTCGATTGGCAATTTATGAAATACATGTTTCAAGTTTGAACCCTTGGCCTTTTGTTTTCTAACATCAATGAAAAAAAGGATTTCAAATCTTGAAACTAGTATATATTTGGACCGTCCATTTTCAAGATTTTTAAGTATTTATAAATACACTCTATTTGCATATTTTCAATTGTTTATAGATATGGTTGATTTGTATCATTTTTTGAGCTTTAAATTACATAATTAGGGATGGAATAGATTTTAGATCATTGCAATGGTTTTCAACACCAAAACTGCATCTTTATGCACATTTAAGAGGTGCACTTTATTTTGATTGTTTAAGTTTGACGACTTATACAAAGCGCACCCTATATTAAAAAATAAATACATTTTATGTCTAGACACCTATACCATTTCACCAGATTGGGAGTGAATTGAGAATAATGTCATATACTAGAATCAATATTTCCAGGTCATAATTACTGTGACTTATTGTTAGATTCATTTCCAGATGTCTAATCAAGATTTAAATGTTTTGATATCTCAAAGCATATATCAATTATATGTGTATGTAAAGCGGCATAGAAAGCTTGCCCTAGATAAAAAATCTCTTACCAAATATTCCATTCGCTTAGTTCTCTGACCACCTAATTTTATTAGTAATCCACCTAGGACTATAGTGACTCACACTTGTAGTGTTACCTGTTTTGCCAAACATCAAAACATAGTGTAGGTTGTCAAAAAAAGAGAGGGTACCAAACTAGTTGCTCTTCGTGAAGCTTAAAAAGAAAATAAAAATATACAATAAGACCATTTATTTTTGGTACAAGAAAGTCACAATCACTCTGTTGAGGATTGATGTCTTGTATTTTAAGGAAAAAGATCTGCTAACGTGGAGTCAAAAAGACGACTTCGGAGGGCTGTTAAAAGCCCGAAGGGCCGAAAGCCCGTACATGGGATTCGATATATTACGATAGGTCGAATCCGTACATATGATTCGATATATCTGGGACTTAATATATATCCATATAAGGGTATTTCGGTAATTTATACCATCTATCTAAGGCTCGATATATATTGTTGCGATTGGGGGTTCATCAAGGGTTAAGGGAAAATTACAGATTACTTTGTAATCAGAGAGGCGTGAGGAATAGAGCTTTTGTAACCCTATTCTCCACTGCCAGTAAATAAGTTTTTATCTCCTGTGTACGTAGGCGCGTTACCGAATCACGTGTATTATTGCGTTGTGATTGGTTGTCTTTTTCTTATATGTTTGTTTCTTCTTTCTAGTTTTCGTGGATTGCTTTTCGTTTCTACACACTCTCTAACTATTGAATGTGAAATTGGACAACTAAATGTGTGTCTTTGACTAGACCAATATCTCAAAAATATTTCCGAGCTTTGTGATATATCTCAAGCTGTCAAATTCTATATCTAATGGTTAGGGATACTCATGACCTCCTTAAATTAAAGGTAGACAATGAGACTATTTACCTTTAATACAAAAAAGTCTCAATTACTTATAACCACCCGATATGAAATATGATAACTTAGGTGTATCATAAAATTCGAGAACTTTGAACTGGCTAAGAGAGATCATATCCGCTTCTTATTAGCTTTGGAAGATGAGGGCCTAAAACAACCAACTTTGAACTTTGAAGCCTGATTTTGTAATTTTCAAACAAGGTGGTGTCATATATATTCATGAATAGCTGTAAGATAATCCCAAATCTTGGATAATCTATGACTGGACCAAACTGTCAAGATTAAAGGAGACAAGGAAACCCCATTGAGTCTTCCTTGTCCTCTTGTTTCTGCAATTTCCATGCAACTAAACAAATCCTTTGACATCAAACTTTCTCTCTCCACCTGTTTGTTCATTTTCCCTCTCTAGCTTGGAAATCTAATTGTGCCAAAAGCCTATATGCTTGCACGGGAGCATATTATTCCCCCACTCCCTTGGATAAAAACTAGTGTTTTGAATATTGGAATAGTGGGTTGAATCGCAATTTTTACTCCAAAACTAGCTTTTATAGTAGAGACACCCCATGTAAAAAAGTCATTAGTATAAAGTCAAAAATACCCTTTCCCGTATTTCTTCGCATAACATTCATGTCAGCCGCTGAATCACGAAAGACGGTCCATCATATATTCTTGCCAGACCGCTGTTGCAAACTGTTGGACCGGTCTAAGAAAGTGTCAGACCACAACTACGAACTACCAGAACGGAACAAAAACATTATTGGACTGCTTTATTACTTGCCGGACTGGAGAGAGAGAGAGGGAGGCATGGACCTTACAAAAGAGAAAGGGTATTTTGGTCTTAAGTTGAGCTCTTTTTTTTTTTTGATTTGGGGGTATACGCTATACAAAACAGTATTGGGGTTTAGTGAGTGATCTAAATAGTAATTGGGGGAGGTTGCCTAAGAAGTTTTAAATTGAGGGTGTATATGTAGTTTTTTCTTATCACAACTATTCTCACTCATTAGATATCAAATTGGATGGCTTGGGTTGAATCATGAAGTCCGATTTTTTTTTAATTTTGTGTCCATTCAATAACATTTTTACAACTATCCATTTTGAAATCTAAGTGATACGGATGAGTGTACACCCTTAGGTCCTAAGTCTCGAATAAATGAGAGACTTGGATCGGGTAGTTGCTAGCCCTGTTCGATTTTATGATTTTTGAAACCCCAAGTAAAATACTTTATAGGAATGTTAGGAGCCCTTGATTTTTAGATGTAACTTCCTCAACCTACAGGCCAACCTAAAAAAAAAACACATGTGCAAAAAAAATAAGGGATTATTTACAAAGGGACCATTTATCTTTTATACATGAAGGTGACAATCATTTTTACTCATAAATTAGATGGCTTAGGGTGAGTCAGGAAGGCCATTTTTTAAAAAAAACTTTGTGTCTATTCAATGATACTATTAAAGCCATCCATTTTGAAATTTAAGGGACAAGAATAATTGTGACATTCATGTACAAATGATAAATGATCTCTTTATAGACAATCCCAACACATAATGCTCTAAGATTGAATAAAGGACGTCCAATTTTTTTGACAGTGAGTTCCAGGGTTATCGAGAACCAAAAAATCAAATTTGTTATCAAAATACTCCTCTCTGATGTAGATCCTAAATTTCCATAATGAAAAACCTTCTAGAAAGTGAAAATTATGTAGCCCTTTTGCCCGATAGAGTAAATGTATAGTAATGCTCCCGCGGAAGTACACGATACGCGATAACCTATTAATTCAGTAAATGTCAGGTCAGTTGAGGGAAAAGAAAACCAGGACACTTCGTGGTTTCCACGAAATGAACAATGACTTCTATGATTGCATTGACCCACCTTCAATTTGGTGGGTGTAGGGGTACTTTTTGGTTAACTTCAGCTTATTTCGCCTGCTTTTTAATCATCTAGATCATTACCTTTTCTGGTTGAGACCTCAAAATCATTTCAATTTCAATTTTGCAAATTGTTGGGGTTTGGCAAGTGCAATGCTTTTGTTGTTTTATTGTTTTTGCATTCTCTCTCTGTTATTTTCCTCTCTTTTTTTCCCTCTCTCTCTCTGTTATTTTCCCTCTCACTATCTCTCAGGGCTCCCTGTTTGGCATTGATGTCCTGGATTCTGGTAGCGGTTGTTTTCCAACAAGGGTATCTCTGTTCTTGGACGTTTATATCTCTGTTCTTGGACGTTTATGTGGCAATATAAAAAACTATGAGGAAAAGAATAAAATCAGTATTAGGTAAACAGCCCTACTGAATTTTTGAATAAACAAATTGATTGATAGTCTATGTAAGAGTTGAAAGATCATCAAGTCAAGGAAATTATAAAGAAAACCAAAAAAATAAAAAATTTGATAGAGGAAGACAAGACCATATAAAGTATTCAATTTGTGCAGTTCTACAAAAATAAATTGGTGTATGATCAAAATCAGAAGCTGGGTTCTGTGGAATCTCTGCTTCCAATTCATACAATTCGTTGAATAATTGATGCAAGACCAAAAACAAGAAGTTGGTTTTGTGCAGTCTTTCTATTTCAGTCTATTTATCTCCTCAAGAATTGAAGGAATGTGTTCTAAAATTGTTAATGAAACAGAGAGGCCATATTCTAAATGGACCAGAGAAGAGAATAAGTTGTTCGAGCTAGCTTTGGCCGTCGTCGATGAAGAAAACCCGGATAGGTGGAGTAATATTGCAGCCATAGTCGGACGGAGAAGTGCAGAGGAGGTCGAGAAACACTATGCATTCCTTGTTGAGGATATACAGCGTATTGAGTCTGATAAAGTACCCATCCCAGATTACATAATCCCTTTTTCTCAGGATTCTGTATATGCAGAAGTGATTTTTTGTCATGTTGATTTCAGTGGATTGCTTGGTATTGGTGAAGAACAGCAGGCGTGAGTTTCCTTGCTCTATCACTCTAGGATTATTGTAGCATGGCTTTTCCTCTACTTCGTTAATTTTCTTTTTCTTTTGATTTTTGATGGTCAAAAATAGATTATTTGGAGGGTCCAAAAGGTTTAGTTACTGTAGTAGTTCCTGCAAACGGGTTATGGAAGTAATTCTATGATCTTACTTCTTGTAAATCTTGATTTGCATTTTGTAGGTTTTTAGTAAATATATTTGAGCATTCTTATGAAGAGATCTAGAAGGATCTCTCTCATGCTTATCAGTATGAAAGATGACTTGATGTAATTCCTCTAGTGGAACTTAATATATAAATCTTATTATGGATTGACCATGAGACCTATTTTTTCATTTTAAATTTCTAATTGTTTCTATGTTCTTGTTTTGTGCAATCTTGCTTTTGTCTTTTCAATTGTTAGACTCAAGAAATATTTTCGTCTTCAGAATTACATATCCTACTCTGCCTTAGTTTCAAATGATGATTTTTTTTTATCCTTAACAATTTAAAAAAAAAAGAAAAAGGATTTTGTTTAATCGTTTATTTTGGAGAAATGGGTTGAAGCATTTCAATAACAAGAACTTTGAAGAGACACATCTGCTTTGAAGATGCATCTCTACAACCCTTGGATCATCTTGGAGTAAAATGGTTTTAGAACCTAAAAGGGCATCAATGTTTTGTGATACCTGGATTCGTTATTTCTTGATAACTGAATTCAAAACATATGTTTAAGATGAATTGCTATCTATTTTTCTGTACTTCGTATTGAAATTAGTAGACTGCTGATCTTCAATAGGCGACCAGGTTTCAAAATCCATGTTAATTTAAGTCCAGAACTTTTTTTGTTATTTTAGAAAGGGGCAAAGTCAAAATAGATAAGCTTGTTAGAAATTTTACAGTAGGATTCTTGGAATGCTTGCAAGAAACCTCCTATTCCTAGAGAAATAAAATAGTAGTGCCGGTTTTTTTTTTGTTACTGATAAAAAAATCCAACAAATCAGAGAGTGTGTGGACTGATCAAAGAGATGTTCCTTGCTTGGCCTTTTCTTGCCATGGAATTTAACAATTCTCAATTTCTTAATACTACGGATTTGATCGGTAAGCAATTGGAGCCTTGCCATCTTTGCTGAAGTCTCAGAAGATTATTCTGGGGGAGAGGAATAATAAACCTTCAAAAGGTATAGCAGAGAGGTTTTGCATATAATGTACGAAAGCTAAGAAAAAGTACCCAAGATAAAAGCTGATTACATCAGTGATATTGTCCAGAAAAATAAAATGAACGAGAAATTTGAGCAATTGTTAAAGGGACCATGAGGTTTGGAATAAGACCTTGGATATTTTGAGTGGTTTAAAGCAAATTAAGGAATTTTGGAAGGTTCTTATTAAATGTCAAAAGAATATGTTCTTTAAATCATTTTGACAAAAGAATCATTACAGTTTGGACTTGTAATATCTAATGGACAATTCATGCCAGGAAGTACATCTAATCCATCTGCAACTGTCAATTTAGATCATAGTTTAGTGTTTAACAATCCAGAGAGAACTGTAGAAAATTCCAGTGATTAAATGCCTGGACTGGCCAGGGTCCCAAGCTCGAGCCAGAGGCTGACTTGGATTGGCTGTTTGACTCGGATGTATCTCTATTAAAAGTGCGATAGAAGTGACTTGGGACCGACTCGACCTGAGTCTTAGAGTTATTCATCCAGACCCAACACACTACAGGTCCAATTGACTCGGGCAAATCGGAAATTAAATTGACAATTTTCTAGACACTTGAAAAATTCAATCATGAAATATTTCACACTGTTGACAAACACAGGTTCCATGGATTTTGTGGATAACATCACTTCAAGGGGATAACATCACTTCAATCGCATGCTTAAACCCCGCTCTTGTGTATTGGTTTCCAATATCTTGGGCAGATAAGTAAAATATCTGAAACATTATTATTATACTACCCTAATTTGTCAGTTGTGGGATTGTCCTGAGCACCGCTAATTACAGGTTGCCATGGGTTAAAGTTCGAATAAGGAACCATTGTGAAATTCATTCTTTATCTTAAGCTGCCAAACCACCGTTTGGTATCGATTATTATTTAAGTTGGTATTGTTATTTTATCAGGGAGGGTCTCTGGCTGGGGTATGACCTTAATTGATGGCATTCATTACTCATAATTCACAATAGAGCACAAATCCGGCATTGATATCAACTGTTTGTAATCAGCGAATACATTTTAGTGCTAACTCCCAAAAAAGAAACAGAAAGAACAATGTTCTAACTTATTCTTCATAAGTAAGCTGGACTCAGTGAACCCCACCATGCATCGAAAGAATCAAATAATGCTCTGGAGTCACACACAAACTAAAAGCTTTCAAGATACTCCAGAAACATAGAGCAAGAAAAAGGTCAAGGTCTCCATTTCTCGCCGAAAATGTAGCAAGTAGCTCATCTGCCCACTGAATACAGAGGAGCATAGCTTGTTTTACAACAAATGGATGTTTCATAGGGCCTATCATCAAACCTTATTAGCACACCTTATTACCGTAGATCAGCAGTAGGATTTGAATTTGGGACATAGTGTCTATCATCAAACCTAAATGGATCAAGCCCAAGCCCAAACTCTAATCAGTGCCTATATTTTACAAGATTGAAAAGAAGAAGCCAAATGCCCTTTATTGGCACGCCTGCAGCATTATTCCTTGTGTTAATGTCCAAGAAGAAACCAGAAAATTCTACTAAAGACCTCATAATCTCCTCTATTACCAGTATAATTCACTTTGGTAGAAATGACTAAAGATCCATAAATGGTATCCTATGGCATGCTTGTTTCCTGTGACTGAGATACATTGCATCTTGCCATGAATGTAACCCTTTACAAGACTTCCTCTGGTTTATTAAACTTCTTGCCTTCAAATTATTATAATGAGAACAAGCATGGGGAGAATGTCACAAAGATTTCTCATTCATGTTCCCATTCTTGTATAAATAGCTTGCTAGTATGATATTTAGTTCCCTCTGTATATTCCACTCTCGTAACTGAATAAACTGTGTCTTAAAGGCCTGTTTGGGTAGGACGATTCAGCTCAGTATTACGATTAGTGTTCTCGATCCGGATGGGAACCGGTTAGGACTGAACCGGTTCCAGAATGGTACAGGTCTCGGCTTGATCCTTATATATATATATATATATATATATATAGTAGACGACACTAC